TCGGCTTGGGTGGCGACGGCGCGGCTTACTTGGCCGTGGGTCTTGCCTCACGTGAGAGAGAGGGAGAGAAAGAGAGAGACGGCGGTTGGTGGTGGTGGCTTGAGGGCTGGTACGGCGGCCTGAGGGCGGCCCGGACGGTGGTGGCGAGCGGCGGCGCCGGCGGTGGGCTTCCCGGTGGACGGCAAGGAGCTCACGGAGGAGGGGGAAGGATTTCACGGCAAAAGGGGCGGGCTGATCGGTGAAGATGAAGAAGAGAATGGAGAGAGAGAAGACATTCTTGACTCAAATAGTGACCATTGACCCAAGGGGAAAATGACCATATTACCCTTTCCTCATATTTTTAATCCGACGGTCCCGATTCGATCTTATCTTGATCCGACGGCCGAGATCGATTCTTGCACAAAAATATCCAAGGGTATACTTGTAATTTCCAAAATATCCAAGGGTAAAATTGTCCAATCAAAATTTGAGGGCAAAATTACCAAAATGCCATTTACCCTTAAAGCTTGTCCTTTAATAAATCCTAGGGGTATTTTGGTCACTTTCTCCGTTTCTTGTCCAAATCGAATTTTTTCAAAGGATTTGAGCGCACCAAAAATTCGCACGTGTCACGTGCAACGTCGTCCTAACGTTCCGTCGTGACTTCCTAATTTTCCGGTGTCCAATTTGGGCAAAATTTCAATAATTAAATTTTATTAAACGCAACTCGGCGTTTCTCGAGCTAACGGGCGACTTCTTTGGGGAAATTCGCAGAATCGACTCATGACTGATACTGAATCGAGTCACGTGCAAGTCCGTTCGGTGCGTGACGACCTCGGTTGTCATTAAAATCGCAAAGATCAATCACTTGATCCGAGGGGTACGATCGTTCGGTATAATTTCAGAATCATTCGTCAAGTCGTTTCGTGGTCCAACGGAATCACCCGCGATCCACTACTAGGACAGTGGCGAACTGACCCCTAACTATCCTTGGATCGGCCAACAGTAACTCAAAATATCACTTCCGCGATTTAATGGTCGAAATCCATTCACGATCGAATTTCCTTTAGTCGCGCGAATTTAATTTCCCCTATTAGCCTTTCCCTAATGGTTAGCATTCCCAGGAATGATCAGTTCCGGGCGAGAACTGACTACGAGTACATTCATAAAATCCAGTATTTCATAAATCCCAAATAGACTAATTTTTTTCAGGATGTCACAACAGCATATCGCTCTAGCTAAGGGTTAGTAATTTCACTTACCTAGAGATGAACTAGAGGGGGCTTGTCAAGAAATGGCCTAAAAGGAGGAGGTGGCGTGCAAGGGAGGGGAAGATGAGAAAGGGAGCTAAAGAATGGAATTGAAAGAGGGGCTACTTCTATTTATAGGCTCCATCCTCATTATTGCTTGTCCAAGTGGTCCAATAGATCTTCTTGAAGTGGCAAGCCTACTAGAATGAGATGGCAAATCTACTAAAGAGAGGTGGCATGTCTATTGAGATGGTGTGGCATGCCTAAGTTTCTAGGGGAATGATGAAAGGCTAATGTGTGCCATTCTAATTGGTACACTTAGGCCATAAGTCATTTACTTCTTTTTCAAGCCAAATCTTATGCCATCATAACCAAATCTCTATAAAGCCACCTAAGCCATGAATTACTTGCTTCTTCTCCAAGCCAAATCTTTTTGCTATAATTACCAAATCTCTATATAGTCATGATGGGGTTTGGATTTTGTCACATGTTTCTTACCTAGCTTGCTTTTCCAGCCAAATCTTTGGCTACCATTACTAAATCTTCATAAGGCCACCTAAGATGATGATTCATCCCTTGCATTAAGGGCCAATGTTTTAGAATCTTATATTATGTCTCTTTTCAAAGAATATAGCAAACATGAAAATTAGGCCATTGGAAGCGCTTGGTTGGGTATGAGTTTATCATGTTCATCCACAATCGACCGTACTAACCAAACTGAGGTTCGTAGCCGAATTACCATTGGATAAGGCTGGTCATAGCCAAACTTACCTAGCAAGGCTAAGTCAGTGGCCCATCACGTGGGCTCCTTGGCCGGCACTGGCCGGGCATAGGGCCGGGCTAATTGGGCACATGGCCCGTGCCTGTCCTGACTCGTGGCCTTACGGTAGGGTCCAAGTCCGGGCATATGGCCGGTTCATGGCCTAGCACAAGGTCTGGCTTACGACTTGGTACATGGCCTAATTGGCAGGGTCGCCAAACCAATCCGCAATCGATTCGCGACTGATTCGTGACCCATCCAAGGAGCCTATGGCCAGTTCATGACTAGTCCATGGCCAAGCATACGTGTTCCATGGCCGACTCTTGATTGTCATGTAGTCGCGTGGGATCGATCATTTTGTGACCAACACATGATTGCATGGATCAATCCACGGTGGTCCGCGATGGGTACATGACCATGTAGAATCACCTACGACCGGAATGTGACTGCGCGGAATCGATCCATGATTGTCCATCGATCCGTGGTGGTACGTGATCATCCCACAACCAACTCTTATGGTCGAGCAGCCGATCCATGATTGAATAGCTAGGGTCACTTGTGTGATCAGTGGATTGGTTCACTGCCGATCTCTTGATCATTCCAAGGCCGATCCTTTGATCAAGCCATAGTTGATCCATTGGTTATCCTTCCGATCGGGTTGATAGGTCCATGACTGTTCCTTTGATTGGTCCATGGCCGATTTCCCCCACTATCGGCACACTAGTTCCATAGCCATTTCTCATAGCCAGAATCGTGGATGTTACGGCCTAGGTACATCTCAAGGAGGTTAGGGTTGGGGACGTTTAGTTTCAGATGTGGGTTTTGACTCTCACGTTCTACAAAGAGGTATGGCAAAAGTCTGAGAATGAACTAAGAGTTAGAATACGACAGACAAAAAAAAATGCATCGGATTTGTGTGAAATCATATAGACATATCCAAAATGTGTATAGATAAAGTAACGAGCTCCCTGTCTTGCCCTCACATTCACTGTGTCACATATATTTGAGTGGATTAATTGCAATAGATATTCACCTCTAGTTCCCTTTCTGAAAGGTTTTCTAGTTATTTTTCCGACAAGGCAATTTTCACAAATGAGCAGATCAATTTTATTAAATGGTTTTAACTGACCTTCTTTTCCAATGTATTCACCTGATTCGCACTATGCCCTAATTTAGCATGCCACATTGACATCAGCATTCTCATCACTAGAAGAGGGATTTAATGAAAAACACTTATTAGCTTAAGAGTTGTATATAATAGGATCCGCATCAAGTCCAATAAAATGGCAAAATGACACTATAAGTGCCATAAGTTGTGTATGTAGATCACTTTGATGCCATAACTTTTTTTCGGATCACTCTGGTGCCAAGTCGGAGGAAAAGAGATCACTTTAGTGACTTCGGCCAAAATTCCGGCCAAAAAAAGAGCCACGTCAGATTTCCGACGAGCCACGTCAGATTTCTGGCGAGCCATGTCAGCATCGGAAATTAATAAAAAAAGAGTCACGTCAGATTTCCGGCGACCATGTCAGCATTGGCACTAAAGTGATCGTTTTTAAAAAAAGTTGACACCAAAGTGATCCGAAAAAAAGTTATGGCACCAAAGTGATCTCCGTACATAACTTATGGCACTTATAGTGTCCTTTTGCCCCAATAAAATCATCTATAACATAAGCAGAACCATATTAACATGAATCATGGCAGCATTTAACACCCACATCATAGAAATTTAAAGTAAACCCTAAACGGAGAAAAGCAGCCACATGGATCTAGTTCCATCAAATTTCTGGGGGGAACACATCAACTAGGCATGGAGTTTGGTCTCCACGCAAAACCAACTTGAATGTGCCAAATCCTTCAACTCTTGCGTTGGTACCTACATAAATCCACTTGCTTTCAGCAGCTATCTGACGGTATTCCACAAGAGACCCTCGATTCCTTGCTCCGTGATCTGTTGTTCCTTAGTCTACAATTCTCGAAGAAAAAATTTAGTGAGCTTAACCAGGCTAGAAGCACAAATACTAGAGTATTTGAATAAGACCAAACTTTCTTTTGCTCGGTGCACTCCCCAAACGAAGTGTCCATTCTTCCCACAACGGAATCACTTCATCATGGTCTTATCCTTCTAAATCCAGCCTTTCTTTCCCTTCCTAAAGAAGCCTTTCTTCCTCGGACCAAGTCCTTCCTTCCCTTTCTTGTCACACTTGTTCCATTTCTTGAATCTCTTTTTGATGCTCGAAGGTCTCCGGCTAGATTCACCCACATAAGCATGACCAAGAGCATTCGTATTCGACATCAATTGCTCATCCTCCAAGATGCAATGATTCATGATGTTATCAAACATCTTGATGCTCTCATTCTCAGTCAAGTTAACCTTCATATGTTCCCAACCATTAGGAATTGATCGGATGACAGCTTGGACTTCTATGTTCACTCATCATGTTTGACATCTCAGACAGATGTTACTTCATAGTATGATTGGAGCGTTTCTTATAAATGTCAAACCTAACAGTCAATGACCTGAGCTGGGTGAGATTAATTATTCCATACCTCTCTTTCAGTGCAAGCCACATCTCACATCTTGTAGGGAAACGCTCAAACTCTCTTATGAAGTCATCCTTCCATACAACTAACAATGTAGCAAAGAGCCATGATTCGTTTTTCCTTCCAGGCTCTAAAAGCCTCTTGATCTATCCTAGATTGAGCAATGTTTCCCTCACCAGGGTCATCCATAACTTGGTTCAAAACCTCTGTCGCTTCTTGTTGATCAAACGCAAATTGCACTTTCCAATGCTGGAAATCAAAGTTATCACCTTTCAACTTTTCACCCTTATTCAAGTCAGTTATGATATTCTTTGTTGCAGCCACGATTAGTCACTGTATAAAGAGACATTACGTGATAGTTAATCCTCAGCACAACACACATTATTTTGTACTAATGATCACTAGAACAATGGTACTTAAATCTAAGGTAAGAAATCGAAACGTTACTACATTTCCAGTCATCATCCTTGACAAATATTTAATCACAATTATTGAATTACATTGTACAAAACCTCACAGTTCCACAAAGGAACTCCCATTTAATTAGGCATCTCCCATACAGAACAGCATGCTAAACTGTTTGTTTAATAACAATAAATGCTTGAAATAAACGCAGTGTTGTGCTACTGCATAATCAGCTCAGCTATAGCAGGGGTGTGTGGAATCTGGAAGTGATTAGTCAAGCCAAAATGAGCCATCATGAGCCAGACATGAGTCAGAAGCTCTCCTCCTCTCCTCAGTTGCTGTGCGTGATAACTCCCTTTACAGTTACTCGCTGCATAACACAACATCTCAACCCACACCTCACTTATTAGCTTCCACTTGTCCTCTTGTTTCTCGATCTTGTCCAGCTGCGACGCGAGCTGACACCCGTGGAACAGCACATACTTGCTCCGGTCTCCCTTTGAGACCGTCAAATTTAGATTTGTCTTCACCTGATCCCTCAGCTCGTTGTAGGCAATAGTTAAGTCAAATTTGCGCTTCATCAAATTCTTGATATGTTGTCTCTTCGAAGACATCCGATAAAAAAAATTCTTGATATGTTGCCAAGGACTTGCACAGAATCCTGCCTTGTGGTCTGTGTCCTCGCTTGCTATCGGCTTGGGCTTGGGCTTCATCAAATTCTTGATATGTTGCCCAGGACTTGCACAGAATCCTGCCTTCTGGTCTGTGTCCTCGCTTGCTATGGGCTTGGGCTTGTTCAGCTTGCGGAACTCATTGAAGAATTTCATGGCCTCGACATAGGTTTCTTGAAACTTGATGCGTCCGATCCCGGTTGGCAGCATCATGGGGTACATGACAAGGATATACAACATGTACCGAGACAAGCGCTTACTGATCTTGGATATTGATTTGTTTTCGTTGACCTGTGGTTCATTGTTACCAGGGTTTTTCGAATTCGGGTGGCATAACAATTCGGTCGCAATATGCCAAATGAGGATGCTTTGGTCGAACTCCAACTCGATGCTCCATTTCAAACTCTCCATTTGGTTGTTTTCGAGCACCTGGCTTCCTCTGGTGGTCTGTGGGGATTGCATTCCTGTGATATGTGACATTATAAGTTTCTTTAGATCGTTGGTCACTTTCTTGTGATGCTTGTAAAGGGGCTTCTCGACCTTCTCATCGATCTGCAGAAATTCGAGGATTTGATGGCAAGGAAGGTGCTTCTCTTTGATTGCAAAGCTCAATAGGCTGTATTGAGCCATGTGATCTGACCATCGGCGCCGTTTAGTAAGCGGTTGCAACCAATTGATGAAATCCAAGACAGCGAATTTCTTTTCCTTAATCAACCAACAAGCCGTCTTATCAGAGAAAAGAAGAACCACCAAAGCATAGATCTCCAGGAATATGGCCGCTGCTAGCAGTATATAGGTCAAATAAAGATCAGCTACCGAGTAATGCTGATCCTCGATCAGGATGAAGAGTACCAACACAATGCAGATCGAAACCAATCCGGTTATGCGACGAGCGAAGCCCCAACTAGTATGGATGGCCTTGGCCTTCGTGTAGAGCAAATTGTACACAATTCCCAATTCAATCTCGATGATCTTGAAGGCCGCAAGGAAATTCTTATCCTTGAGCACCAACCAACTTGTGTCGCGATCCTCTAAACTCAGCAGGAGATCTGCGAAAAGGCGTTGGAATATGTTTGCCAAGCCTCTGGCCGCAAGCAATTCTCCTTGCTTACGCTTATAAAGTTTCCCCAGATCATGAAGGCTTTCCTCTGAACATGAAAGATCGGCACCATCCACATTGTATTCCACAGTCACATCACGGACCTCGATCACTTCATGCGCTATGACATCGTAGCCTTCGGCCTCCATCAACTTATGTTGCTCCAATATCTTGGAATAATTAGGAGGCGGGTCAGGGATGGAGTCCCTGAACTGCTCGCTGCTGGCGGTCCAGAGCACATAAACCCTTTCGCCATACTTGACGAGACCGGCAAAAATTATCACGATGGCGAGGATGGACATACTCATGCCGGTCCACGCCATCAGGAAGATATAAAATGTTACTCCAGTTTGGGTGACTAGTGACAACAAATGCCTCAACCAGAGCTCATTGTCTTCTAGGGCATATGCCGTTATGGTGTCGGGGCCTCCTAAATGTAACAAGAGGAATGGCGCCCAGAATGCGTTCAGCTGGGTCTTCGTGTCCACACTTTGGCTTTTCAACTTCGTGACCTTGTTTGTGATTATGCCGAGTGCGTAGATCGCAACCGCATCGGCCATTAGGTAGGCCAGCCAAACGACCCCCCTGAACCAGGCAAAGTGGATGTATTTGCGGCGACTGCCCATACAAATGAGCAGGATTTGGAGGGTGAGGCTGAGGAAGATGACACCGCGGAGCTCCCATTCTTCCCACAGCTCTTTGAAACGCGAAGAGAAGACCTGCATCACCTTCATCTTCTTCATGATGACGCCGCTGCTCAGAGCAGCTGAGACGCAACTCTTTGTATTAGCAAAAGAATGATGGAAGTACATTGCTTATAAAATGTGCGAGAATGACATTAATGACTGCTCATATGGCAAAAATGATCAACGATGTTAAGCTATAGAGATATATTTCGCTGCATAACCTAATTAAACTGCTCGTGCTAAAATCCAAGCAACCCTATGAACATAGATAGGTGAGGCGATTTTTTCTTTCCTTGCTGCTGTAGAAAATTCGCCTCCCTACGAGTTGCTTACATGGTTTCTTAAGCTGATATATTTGAGAACAAAAGTAAATTCTCGCATTCTTTCTACTTCAGTTGCTTTGTTTTTGTCCTTCTTCTTGAAGTTTTCTGCTTTTGCTACGAGTACAAGTCTACTATGCCCAAGAAACACTTGGACATCCATAACCATAAAAAACTACTTGTAGCTCAAAGTTCACTGAAGCAAGAGATGAAGTGAATTTCTTTTACTTACCAATAACTGGCAATATCATGACTCAATGGTGAAAATGCTGCTTAACTGGTTCAAAGAAAGATCGGTCTTCTGTTGAACAACGATCTGTTGTGTGTGTGTGTGTGTGTGTGAGAGAGAGAGAGAGAGGTTATGGAGGAGGAGCGTAAAAGAGGACTGATATTGAGGTATGTGACAAAAGGTTAGTCGGATAATACAGCTAAGCGGGCTCCATAAAGAGACACTACAATTATTTCTTCCGATGTTGCGTTGTATCCTTTAACAATCTTTTGTGTCTGTATTTTTCTTATACTTGACAAAGTCAACACGGGGTCAAGAGGGCGCTCTTTATTGCATAGGCCTAAGTGTAGACAAAATTTATTAAATTATATCTTAAGTTTGGGTCGTTTACGGAATTTCATCCAATTAGATAAATATCCGAGTTTGACAGTACAGTTGAATTCAACAGTTGGACTCGTCAAGGTTGGAGGAAAGATGGGCACCGCAAAACAAAATAAAAGCTCCCTAAAGACATCACTAAAAGACAAAAAGAAAGGGGCACGATGCTTTTGTCTTGTGGCCGTGTAAAAGCAAAAGGCAAGTGGGGCCCATGGAATTGTCTAGAGCAAAGAAAACAAAAGGAAAATGGATACGGTTTTTCTGGGGGCTCGAGACTAGGTTGTCCGCCCTTTCTTGGAAAGTCCAGCCGCACAAGCGGAGAAGTCGTGGGTCTTCTTCTCGTCTTAGCTCTTGGAAAAATGGCCGCACAGTAGGTCTCGGTAAAAGAGCAGGTAGCTGCACGGTGGACTCCAAGAGAGGACGCACGCGAAGCAAGAAAGGGGATGATATATGGACACCTCTTTGATGCATAATTCCCCGAAAAAATCTCCACTTTAAATCAACTCTCAAATCTGTCATGAACTCCTTTTTATCTAAAAAAATCTCAAATTTTAGATCCAGTCTTAAAATCTATCCCGAACTTTTTTTTATCTCAGAAAAAACTCAAAACTTTAAGTCTAGTCCCAAATCTACCCCGAATTTTATTTTGTGTAAAAAAAAACACCAAAATTCAATTTATTTTCAAAAATGTATCCCCGTAATCCTGTCTCAACTTGATGTGGCGTCGATAACAAATCCACATCAACAAAGTAATGTGGCCTTTTTTAAGACAAAGAAAACTTCGTAGCAAATTTGGATTAAACCTAAAAGTTAGGTATTTTTTAAAATTAAAAAAAGTTTTTTGGGGTGGATTTGTTATCATCCCTAATTTTCATATCCTAGAATGGTTTTATTTTGGAGAATTTCAATAATTTTTATTGGGCTAGATTTGTTATCGAAGTGGAAATGGGATGTCGGTCTACACATATCTTCACATTACTTTGCTGATGTGGATTTGTTATTGACGTGGAAGTGTCGCGTCAAGTTGGGACTGGATTACGGGGTTATATTTTTTTAAATGAATTGAAATTTGTTGATATTTTTTTACACAAAAAAAATTTTGGGGCAGATTTGGGACTAAACTTAAAGTTTGGGATTTTTTCTAAGACAAAAAAAAGTTCGGGCAAATTTGAGATTTGATATAAAGTTGGGGGTTTTTTAAGGAATTCACACCCTCTTTGATTGAGCCAAGGAGTTCCAAACACGATGATTTTGTGTCTATTTGAGTTGTTTATTTGTAAACATTTGGGATTTGGGTGTAATCTATGTGCGGGAAATACTCGAGCGTTGTGAGCAATTGCAAACTTGGATTCTCCAATTATTGGTTGATTATTTGCTGTTGGCTCTTTCCATGGATGTAAAAACTGATACGTCGGACCAAATCACATAAATCTTGAGTGTCCTTCATCTTTTCTCATTATTTCTCTAGTGATTTTTTGCGTTGACATAAATTACAAGATCCGGGTTAGCTTCCGCGTTAGTTAATATTACAACAAAACTTTTGTTTATGCTTTGCCCACTAACCAAATTGTAGATTGAGATTAAAAAAGCAAGGAGTGAAATCTTGGTCTCTAACAAGCCTTTTGCTAATGTTTTGTATATTTCAACTGCCTTTTCTAATTGCAGCCCCCAATTGGGAATGACAATAAACAAGCACATGTGCTTGGTCATGAATCGCGGTCGAGGATGGTTGTTTTTTTTCCAAGAAGTATTCCCTTTGTATGTTACCATGATTTTGAGCAATAGCTACTTTGCACCATTCGTGACTCGTAGGTTCGAGATTAGTGAGCCCGTCATCATAACCTCACCAATATGCTAGCCAAGAAGTTTCTCCAAATGAGATATGTCATCGTTAGGCAATACAGCACGAGTTATTCAAAGTTAATAACTGTTAAGTCATATGTTGCATATACATTATTGGAAAAAATGATTTATCTAACATGGTATCACAACACAGGTTAAGGGTTCGAATCCTAACACTCTTTCAATTTCTTCTGCTTGTATTTTGCCTGTTTTCCTATTTGGCTCCCTTGAGAACCTGTCTTGCACATGCAATATTGGCTTCTACGTGAGCGGCAGTGTTAAATTAAATGCCATAAATACATTATTGGCTCGTTTCCAAACAGCTTGAATTATTGGGAAAAATAATTTGTCTAACATGATATCAGAGTTAATACTGTGGCTATTCAATCATGTGCAAACTCGTTGCTCGTGATAATTGGGTTCACAAATCGCTCACACAAAACCAAAGTCATGCCCCTTTTTTTCACAAGAGCCGACTTTCTCGCCGAGTTCGAACAACCGCCTCTCCACACTCTGCACCTTCGCGCCTTCCGTTTGCACATCGCCGTCCCCTTCTCACGCTTCACGTCATCCACCCCTACTTCCATTCCGTCCTCAGTTGCATCACAGTGGTCAAGTCGCGGCCACAACCAATTTCTCACGACTCAGAGGACCATCCGTCTACTTTAGCCACATCGATCACTTCGATCACCACAAAACCACCACCAATCGACGAATTGGCCGCCATAGAAGTCACTACTCAAGTTTGACGGCAAAAGGACGTCCCACGTGCCCCCACGAACCAGGTCGGGTCTTGAGTTCTTCAGCTCACACACTCCGCTCGTTGCGCGCGCCGACATCAACTATTTACCCTTCACAAAACACGTGTCGCTACATAATTTGCCATGTCAACAGAGGCACGTCATCCGCCACGTGAGCGCTCGCCACATCAACGATGTCACGTTAGCAGGGCAAAGTTAACAACAACACTTCAGCAACACCACATCACCGGCATTCAAACAGTCGTTGACCGGACTGATTCGACTTTGACAGACTAGTTCACCCAATTTTTAACTGATTCGATCCGGTTCCTGATGTTTTTCATGCTGCTCTTTCCGAATTTGAGGTTAGTTTTTGTTGATTCGATATGCAGCATTTTTTCGATTAGTTTTCGTTGATTCAATATGCAGCATTAAGCTTCTCTCTTTCGATGCTTATCAGACTGTTCTATATGGATCTAATAATAATTTGTGGGCTCAAGCTATGCGTAACTTCTTGAAGGCAAGAAAACTATGGTGATATGTGAAAGGAGATATCATAGAACCTACACGGTCCACTAGTTAAATTGCCGAAAAACTAGAAGATTGGGACAACAGAATCACATGGATTCACAACACCTCTGTTTAATCCATTCATCTTCTATTTGGAAGGTTTGAGACAGACAAAGAATGGTGTAGGACCTACTTGTTCAACGCTATACTACTACTTATTTGGCTCGCCAATATCAAGCATGGGGTATGCACGCTTCACGGTACGAGATAGGATCATGGACAATTTATCTCTAATTTTCATAGTCAGATACAAACATGTCGATACCTAAATTTTCGCCAAAGATCTCTAATGCATTTCATCATAATTAGGGATCAAATTCGTTGAAAACGATAAAATTTGACCCTAAATACAAATATCAGTTTTGCATTTTCTCGCATTCACATTTGTTATTGCATTTCTCTGCATTTAGGCACTAGAGGCATTTATGTTTAGGAATAACACATTTGCATTGAGTAAAACATAGGCCCGGTTATTAAGATCGTTCAAATTGGCCTGATAGACAGCCCGACGGCGAAATGAGTTTATATTTAGAAGTAAAGGACCGTATCCTCATTAGAGCTTTTCAAGACCAAGCCGGCACGAGCCCTACTCCCTTTGATGAACTCAGCCACATCCCATTTGGCCTGGCCGAAGCTTCCACACGAGTGTCATGTGCCGTTCCCAATTACGAAACAAAACCAAAAAGGAAAGTGACCAAGGGCAAGCATTAGACCACTCGAAGAAAGCGCGGCCAACACAGACAACGCAAGGAAGATCCAATCAACGCAGCTCGGCTGCGCATGTGAGAATAAGAAAGAAGACCAGAAAAATCGAGATGGAAATAGGGAAACAAACGGTTTCTTTTCAAATTGTGTAGCCAAAAATTTCGGCAATTTGGGGGACGAAACCACGGCTGTTTGAACAGAGGACGTTCGGAGCTTCCGATGAACACACCCAACAACGAGGACTGAGAGAGGGTGAGAGCAACACAGCACGTACAGGCAGAATTCACGACTGAACCAGCACCTAATTCTCAGCCAAACACCCCCAGGATTCTCGACCAAAAGTGATGCACACTCACGGCCAAACAGGGTACTCGCCTCGGCTGACACAGAGGCCAAGCTTCGTCAAATCATGCAACTAAATCCGGTCGCTGCTCACAGTATCTGCATGGTAAAGATTCCGGATTTTCGTTGGGGGGATAAATGTGTTGTAAGTCCTAAAACTTATTACAAAAGTGCAATTAAATCCTAAAACCTTCAATAAGTGCAATTAAGTCCTCAAATTTATCATGAAAGTGCAAGCGAGTCTTAAAACTTTCAAAAAGTGCAATCAGTTCTTAAAACTTGTCATGAAAGTGCAAGCGAATCCTAAAACTTTCAAAAAGTACAATTAGTGGAAGGACTTGATTGGACTAATTTACAAGTTTTAGGACTTGATTGTACTTTTGAAATCAGTCACTTCTTTTCACTTTTTGAAAGTTTTAGGTTTCAATTACACTTTTGTGACAAGTTTTAAGATTTAATTTTACTTTTTGAAAGTTTTATGATTTAATTGCACTTTCGTGACAAGTTTTAAGATTTCCAGTGCATTTATTCCTTTTTTTTGGCCTAGTGACACGAATATTCTTGCAGCCTCCCTAAACCATGA